GTCGTACATTATGTTCAAAAACCAAAAAATAAAATTCAATGACAAATTATACTGCTGTCTCAGTCTTACTTATAGGAAACACCAAAATTACTTTACTAAGAACGTGTAAATTGTTTTAACCTGATTGAAATCGATGTAAAAACACAAACCACAAATCAGAGGAAAATATTTTTGATAGCCACTACGTCGTTTTTTTCAAAACAAAATTTGAATCAATACCGTTCAACAGCATGTTGGTTTTGAATGTTTTTTTTTTAAAAGGTTGTAACTGTTTTTACCTACTATGGTTCTTTTTAGGAAAATTCTCCTATCTAAATGTTTTTTAAGCAATTATTTTAGTTATACATACTGAAACGGTAAACGCGCGTATAAAATTCCTTGTAAAATATCCCAAGTCCTTTAACCCTTTTAAAACAGTACTTAATGGAAAAGGTGTGAAAAAAAGTGCGAGTTAGTTATTTTTCGTTTTACTAATCTAACCTAACCTAACCTAGGCTTCTTTTTTTATTCGTTAAAATTTAATATTTTAAGTAACAATTATTATATGGTATACTATTATAGTATATATTTTTTATTATAATTACATATTTTACTTTATTATCTTATTGCAATTTTTTTTAATATTATTATTATGTATTTTACATTATCCATCATACCTATAGCAAAGTTTTTTGAATATTGAAAAATATTTTAATTTATATTTTATACCTATCCATTTTTTGATGATCCGCATTAAGCATTTTGTATTTTTTTTTCTTTGAAGACAGTGAATTTTTTTAAAATTATTGTATTTGGATAAATTGTATTATTTTTATTTTCAAATATTATTATTTGTTTGTTTTATGTTTACATTAATTTGTTAATATTACTATTCATTATTGCATACTTTTTTTTTCATCTTGTTACTTTTTTTTACATATTTTTTAAAAATGTTTATATATTCTGTCTACTTTAGATTTTGCGTTTATTAAAATATTCTTATTTTAATCATTAGCCTTGTGTATTTATTTATGTATATGTATGTATGTATTTATTTATTTCGATACATAATATCGAGTGTAATGGTGGTAATACCTATATCCCTACTATGCCTAATTAGTACTGTATACTCTATAAAGTACTTATAGGTAATATGTTGTGTTATTCATTTCTGGCCATACCGACTCGAAGATATTATAATTGTTTTGTTAAATTATCTTATCAATAGCAATGCACTAACTATTGCATTTGATTAATTTTGATCATCTCAAAAACAATATTTAAGATCATCAATGATAAGGTGAAAAGTCGTGTAAACAATAACAATAACAATAATTGTATTGCTGTTGCAGTTTCTTGGTGTACTCAGTAGTGTAATTTGGACATGATGTCTGGGATTGCAAAAATTACTTAAGACGCACAGACCGGTGGAGCATATGGAGCATAAATCCGAAAAGCATAAATGCCTAAACCAGAAACTACCGGACTATAAGAATTTTAGAATACAAAAATACGCTCATTATAGTGTCCCGGACAAGAACTTTCCAGAATTTAACAAAAAACACACTAATAGATAATGATGTTTTGCATACACAGTACAAATAAATACTTAATACTGAATAAATGAATTAAAATTAAATGAAGGTTTTATAGCTGTTTTCAGAAATAGATGGACAAACTTAAACCCGGTGCCATATTAATAGTGTTTTTGAAATTCCGGATTATTCTTGTACGTGACACTCCAGAAATTTATTGTCCGAGGTATTTCCGTCCGTAAGATAATATTCCAGACATTTCTTGTCCGAAACATTACAGTGTGCGTATTTTTGTAAATGCGTGTGCGAAATTGATTAGGTAATCATAAGTCTATATCACTATACAGATAACATGTTTTATTTACATTGTATTCTATATATTATTATAGTAAATTCTTTGGTATCACATTCACATAATTGTTAGCTTATTTTCGTTCAGATATGCAAAGTAGTTGTTTTTGATAAAATATATTGATAATTAATTAATCATGAACTGATACATAGGGCCCGGAAATGCATAGATAAAAAAACGTAAAAAATATGAATGCATTTATGCACTGATATCACTAATATTATGCAAAAATATGCAAACAAAAATACATGTTAGTTAAATTAATTTAGTTTGAAAATTTATATAATTAATACATATATGTAATTCATTAGATAATGGAACAAACATGTATTAAAAAAAAATTTAATAACACGCAAATTCCTTACGAACCATGGTTATACCTATGTGGGTAAAACCAATGAACTATAATAAAGCAAATGGGTAAAATACTTAAAATACAGAAATATCGTAAATGTTATGGTCTTTTAAAACATGTATAACTGAACTTTGCTCTAATTCGTTTTTTTTTATTATTGAATAATTATTGCGTATTTATATACATTGAATTCCTTTTTTGATCCTAAGTTTTAAACATCTTACCTACAACCTACCCATTGTGCGAAGTATGTACGTATTTTAGATTCTTAGTGGAGCGAAAAAGCTTATGGTTTTACAAAGAAGTTTATTTTTTTTTCTGTGAATAACTTTTCTACCAGCAAATTTGTTTTAATATATAACGATATAAATTTTACAAATATATTTTCTAGGTTTTTTAATTTTTTTCTCACTTTTTCAATTTTATAACAGTGGGTACACCCGTCCCTAGTAACAGCTTTTTTTTGTTTTAATTTTTTCAACGAAAAATGGTAAAAAAAAAACCTGTAGGGGCTATTGAAACTGTTTATCATTAAACGTAAAGATACGCAGGCACAGTGTGTGTATTATTTTTTTGTCACGTTGAAATAGTTGTTTTCCCAGTCACAGAGGTTTATTATAAGTCCTATGTGGCTTTTTGGAACCAAATTGCGCGTGTTCATATTTTATTACAATTAAACCGGATTGTAAATTTATTTTTGTTTGATGTGTAGCTGCTATTAATTTTATGTAACAAGAGAAATAATTGAACATTTCACACAAATTACATAATAAGTTGTACTTATGGTCCGAAAAACGAATTTGAGTTAATTGTTTTTTTTTCTTTTCTAAACGATTTAAGGTCAAATTTTGAAGAAAGTTGTACAATTTGCGATATTTTAAAATTTTTCATACCGAACTTCGCTCTAAACCGTTTTTTGTTAGCAACAATTTATTGTAATCTAAACAATTTAACAATTTATTTAACAACGTAACAATTCAAACTATTCAAAAATGTAAACTGTACGAATTCGTACCTATACGAGTGTCCGTTTACACGACGACCGACACACCGAAAATACACGGTGTATCATATCGCTGATAAATAATATGTTTGACCGTAATAAATCTTTAGTTACAATGATTTTTAATACCTATTGTGCTAGAAAAATGTCAAAAAACCATTTCGGGCGGTCAGTACATGCACAATGCACGAATCCGCGTCGGAATCCGACTAACGTTTTTACGTTATAATATTTTTTTTTGTTCCTTTCGTTTTGATTTTACCGCCATTCAGGGACAGAAATAAAATGTACCGAATGTCCTACGGGGAAAAAAATGTATGTAAAAAAAAAAGTGAAAAAAAAAGAAAAACGTACACACCATATGCGTCGATCGATATTATATTTAGAATGTAATAATAACGTAAAAACTACAAGGAAGGTACACTATAAGCTAAATGTTTAGTTACAATGATTTTTAATATCTATTGTGCTAGAAAAATGTCAAAAACATTTACGGGCGAAAATTTGATTTTAAAAGAGATGCACAATATTCTATATTTCAACCCATAGTATAGCAATATTCCTATTTAATAACCACCCCAATATCAATTTTTTCCAATGACCCCTTATTAATATTAACAAATCCTCATTACATTATTACTCTACTTTCACATCACAATCATTGTTAAGTATTATTATATTTAGATTTATTATTATTACATAATATAATATGTTATTTATAATAATCTATCATAATTGGGCTTTTTATAAATAAATAACAAATATAATTATTATTATTATTATAATGTTATTAATTTAATAAAGTTTATGTGGAACACCCTGGATAGAGGGGCATGATATGATAGTGTTTTGCAATTTAAAAATACATTAACCAAAATTCATAATGTTAAAACAGAAATAACTAACTGGGAAGATCTATCTTCATTTTCTAAAGCAAAAACAGTGTTATGCTCCATAGTTAACTGTGAGTTTATTTAAATATATGCTTTATCGTTCTACTTTAAATTACTTACCATGCTAATAAATTGTTAAAAGTAATAAATGATGATATATTATTAACTATACTTAAAAACAATTGCTTACACTGTAATATATCAGTCGAAACATTTATAATTAATGGACACATTAAAAATGAATAATATTTTCAAGAGGTCAATAATGACTTATTAAATTCAAACCTTGAGTTATTAATACAAACATGGAAAAATCAGAGTTAAAATGTAAAACAATGAATGAACAATCAATTTTTTTTCTTTTACACAATATGCTAAATTATTATTGTAATTGATATTTTTGAATAATGAATTTTTTTACTTAAAATTAAATATATGTAACCACATTTAATGGTGCTGTACTTCTTTTTTCATAACTTGCTTAAATTACAGTCAAGTCTTTATTTTACTTTATAAATTATTCATATATATTCATGCCCCCCCCTACCATTAAACAAACATCAAATGCATGATAGCTTGATGTCCAGTACATAAGAATAAGCAATATACATTGATAATATAATAATACACAAAATACAGTTATAAATAATATACTAATTTATATTAATTTAAACAATTAGAATGTTTGACACAAAATAAAAAGAAAGTTATAATATATGTTTGTTATTGTTAAATGATAAAAACTTAAAGTACCTATTACATGTTAAGTTTTATGACATTATATATTATTCATCAAATTTGTATACAATAAACTTTTGAATTATTGAATTTAATTTACTTAAGTTTATGCTAGAATAAGTAAAATCATCTATTTAGGCCATGTTTACAGAATAGTATTCAAATACAAACATTTAACTGATCCAGGAACAGACCATGGTCCATAAAATGGCTTTTGAGGATCAAGTGGATTGTTGTTGACTGCTCGTACTGCATAATAAATTCGTTGATCTTTATCATGTGGAGTACACTCAGGAACATGTACACGAAAAACATTTACTTATAAAAAAAAAAAATTATTTTAAGAATTGAAAATATTGCAAATTACTCTAATTAACACACCTGTCCTTTAAGTCAATTAAAGACTCAGTGTCTAATACTTTAGATAAGAATTAAAAAAATTTGTTTTAATGTTAATTAAATAATACATATTTCAGTAATAAAGTTAAAATGTTCAAAAGAAAATTCTGGATTGTTTATCTTTATCAAATACAATACAAATTCAAATAATTTTAAGAATTGGATACAAGTTATAATATAATATTTTAAAGTTTATCATAATAATATTAATATATAGATACTTACTGTTAGTTTGATATAATAAATTATCTGGATTTTCATGTGTGAGTGTATCAACTAATTCTATGGGCAATATACTTCCATCATATACAGTTTGTGAAGTGAAAGGTCCGCTATGATTCAATATGATCAATTGATAATAATCAATTGGACCATGAGGTTTCATAGGTTTATGCCATGATATAACTATTCCTGTTTTGTTTCTGAACAATACATTTGGTTTTGGTATTCTTCCTGGAACTATAAAAATAACAGTTAATATAATAAATTCAGTAGTTTTTATTTATTTAGAAAAAAAAATGTCCTACTAACATCCTACACCTGTTTGTACTTGTATGGGAAATGAACGTTCAGAGCATTTTTCTGTACATACACTAATGGTAATGTTATAATGCCTATAGCTCTCCAGATGTTCTAGATGACACTAAAAATAAAATACAATTTTTATTACATATTAGAAATATTTATATAGCATTGAATAATTGTATAAATAAGAAATATAACCTTTGTATCCTGTACTGTAAAATTACGTTCTTCAGTTATTATTTTTTCATCCTCTATTATATCAATCAAATCCTTTGGAAGTGCTTGGTCAAATACATCATATAAATAATAATAAACACAGTAATAACGAATAACACCATTTGTGGATTTTGGAGGTGACCAAGAAATATCCACAGATGTGTTGGTGAGGCCAGTAACATGAATACTTAAGTTTCTTATATCAGGAGCTAATAAAAAAATTATTGCTATTAGCTATTTATTATAACTAACAAGAAAGAGAATTAAAATAGTATTAACTTTGATTTATTAAAATGATTCAATTTAACTTAGTAAAAATGCAAAACCTACATCCTTCTATAGTAGCACTAACTATTGGATCACTAAGTAAGCTACCACAGCAAATTATAGTTAATGCAATAACAAACATATGTGAGGTAAATGACATCAAATTCCTATAGAATGTAACATTTCTTCTTCTGTATATAATTTCTCCACCTATAAGCTTATTCATTATGGGTTCTAAAATCCAAAAAATTATCTGAATTAAAAAAAAATTAAAAATATCAAAGAAAAATAAAAATATAAAATAACTACTTAAAGAATATAAATGTCCTGCTTTCAATATGATATAAGTCTAAAATTAAATAAATCAATTTTCATCAACATATAATTGCATTACCAATCATTTATTTATTATTAATTAAATACATTTTATTTATTCTAATATTCAATTACTATTTATTAGAAAATAAATCAAATTTCTTCTACATAATATGGACATGTAAAAATAATAAACTTTTATTATGCAACAACAATTAATACTTGTCAAATAATTTGTTCATATAAAACAAATATTTTTAAATTTCCAAATTTTAGGATTTAGTAGGTCAGAATTTTGGAATGGTTATTTTTAAATGTATAACATTGATAAAAATCATGTTTTAGAATATCAAAATTAATTTAAATATAGTTTACCTGTAATTTTACACATGTATTTTCAATCATAGCCAAAATCATTAATTGTAATTCAAGGTTAACCTTATATATTTATACTTAAGAGCTAAAATATAAATATAGTTTAGACCGAATTCCTATTTTATTTCATTTAAACTATATTAATGAATAATAAAATTTAATGAAAATATTTTATTTATTATCAAAAATTAAATACATATTATTTAATTTTTACGTATTCAATTTCAATTACCAAGTCATTTTACATGTACAGCTGAGTAATATTTTAAAATTAAAATATTATGCTTAACTTTAATAGTAACATGTAAAATAAAATGAAATAACAATATTAATTTGATTAAAGTTTAATATATTTCACATCTTTGATCAGCTATTTTTTGAAACTTTCTATAGCTCAGAGTTCACAAAAAATAAATAAATGGTTTAGAAGCATAGTTAAGATGAGGCAATACATGCATTTACTGTCTCAATCCAACTAATAGGCAATATAGCAAAATATACATATCACAATTTTATTACTTGATTTTGATTTTAGAATAAAATCAAATGTTATTAAATTAAAAGAGGACAACTTTTTAAATTTACTTTTTGAAATATTACAGATAATGTTAGTACTGAAAATTATATCTGGATTAGAATAACAGGAATAATGCATAATTTTGCCTTTGGAATATTGTTCTCTATTAGTTTGATAATAGGTGCTTTTGCTCTAAAACCAAAATTAAGCAAGTTATAAGGTAGATTTTGGTTTATTGTATGTTAGTAGGAGTAAGACAACACATGCAGGTATAGCGTCCTCTTAAATATAGAAAACATATGGGTAGCCATGGAATTATACTATTAGGTTTCCAAATTAGGCAATATATTAAGTACAATAAGGCAAAGTCTATGATACAGACATTATTGCATAGAAAGACTGATTATTTATAGATTATAGTTAAGAAATTAGACAATTGGAATTTGCATTAATATTTAATATTGAACGCCTTCAAAAAATGCACATGTACTGTTATAAACTAGGGATCTCCTATAGAAAAATGTTAATATATATATCAATTCCTTTACAAATTATAATGTATTGTTTAATTCAGGCCATTGATTAGGTATATATATTGTCCTTCTGCTATCTCCTAAAATTCCCTATTGTAGCAATGTGGTTTCTTAGGTGAGTAGTCTGGTACTTGAAGAATGTTTATGATTTATGTTTATAGTGGGTCCTATTTAATAATTTACCAACAAAGCTTTATTTTATAAATTGTAATATTTATTAAACTAATACTAATCATTAAATACTAGTTTACAATACTGAATACATTAAATAAATTACCTGAATACTTGATAGTTATGTACAAATAGTAATTTACAGTACTTAAAAAGTGATAAGTCATCAAACTATAATAACCATAGATGATATAAAAATATATAGACCACTTTTATAACAATTATAAGTAATGCGAGTTCCAGGAGGGGCGGAAAACTGAGGAGATTTATCACAGATGTTCCGCTAACAATATTTGATAAGAAAGTCCAGTGGTTCCCAAATATGTATATAATGTTGCCTTTTCAACTCCTATAATTTCACTGCTACTAGTATAATGAATTGCCTAACATCTATAAATAAATTTTTTTACTCATTTTTAAAATTCCATTGCTAACGTTTAGGTTGAAATTTTTATTGTCTATTCAACTTCTGAAATTGTTCAACTTCTCTGTTTATCGTATATCTAAGTTTCGAAATTATATTGCTATATGTTAATATAGCACGGAAACTGTGTGCGTGTGGATGGCATCGTAATACGCAATACACTACTGTGCGATAAGCCACCGTGACGGAATTTCGAACCGTGTCGACTTGCACGGTCGCAACACGGACACGGCACGATCACGGCAAAGTGTGAAACTTCAGATAAGCTGCTTTATATTAGTAAACCGTCACGGAACCGTTTACATGGAAATCGTGTACGTGTGAAACGGGCCTAAGACGATGCTTGTGTGTAATCTTAACAATAATAAAATAATATCAAGAGTAATCGGTATTTCCATAGAAATGGGCATTTTCTAGGTCTTTTTAAATTTAAATTCATACGCTTGTTGAACTTAACAGTTTGACAATTGTTATTCGAGGGTTGTCGCTTAATTTGACGTGCATAATATTTATCGTACATAGATATAAAAATTAATGATGCATCTAATGCATGTTAAATTGGTTATGTTTTGTAGATGAGGACTCTAGGTCTATTTTTTTTTAACTAAATTGATATATTTATTTTGTTGTATAAAATGTGGTAAATGTTCGCTGTTATTAATACCTAATAGTTGATTAATATTTTTTATGAAATGATTACAACTTAACTCATTTTATAAGTGTCACACGTACACACGTAAACACGTGCAAAAATTTTTTTCCTCAAATAATAAATAATTAAACGGCAAAAACTAATAATATAATATTTAAAATTATATCCAAATTTTTATCTAGGAAGTTAAAAAAAAAATTGTTTTATCTACAACAGGCAAACAAAATTTATGAATGCAGAATTCCTTCAGATGATTTTCTTCTGAAAGACTTTCTAATATCCTGGGCTATTGAGTTTAATGTGTCTCAAATAAGTTTGAATGGATTACTCAAAGGAATGAAAAGACATCAATGTTTCAAGGATTTACTTATAGATAGAAAAACTCTTTTGTTAACTCCAAAAAATATTTCTTTGGCTACTCAAATTATTAAGCCAGGAACATATCACGATTTTGGGATTGTCCCTGCTATTTTGAAATTTATTCCAAACAATGTTAATGAGACCAATATTGTAAAAAGGTATCGATGATAAACCTTTGTCAAAAAATAGCGGTGGACAATTTAGGCATATTTTAGGATACATTATTTCTAAACATTCAGTTAAAAAATGTGTTTCCTATTGGCATATACTATGAGTTTAAAAATCAAATGATAGTAATGAGTTCATCTCAGATTTTGTAGATCAAGCTAAATTATTAACTATTAATGGTTTAATGAAAAATAATATTAAAATTAAAGTTTTTTGTCTTGATGTGTCTGCTAAAAGTTTTATTTTACGAACAAAAGGACATGCTGGGTATTCATCTTACACAAGTTGTACAATTGAGAGAGAATACATAAATAACAAGGTTTATTTTCCATGCACACATGTTCATTCTACAAAAAGATATTATCACTCTTATATCATCAAACTTGATGAAGACATTCATGCATCTAATGAATTAACCCGTTTAATTGAATTATCTGGTTTTGATTCTATTAATTATTTTATTCTTGACTATATACATCTTATTTGATTAGGTGTAATGAAGAAGCGTTTATTTCTTTGGACTAAAGGATCTCTGAATGTTCATTTAAGATCAAGTAATGTTAATTATTTATCATATTCTATGTTATTTCTAAAAAAATGTATTTCTTTTGATTTTGTTAGAAGTGTAAGAATCATGAATCAAATCGCTTTAAAGCAACAAAATTTTCGAACTTAAGTTCTTTATATAGATTGTTTTCAAAAATGTTTTGAAAAATGAATGTTATGAACATTTTATGGCACTTAAGATTTCATTGTTAACACTTCTTAGTCCAGATTAAAGTGCTCTAGTTGATTATGCCAGAAATTTTTTAATTATTTTGTCACAATACTTGAAGAAATAAACAGTAGTCATCATATATCAAGGTCTAATTCATTTGTGG